ACCTACTGTGAAGCATGATGGTGGAAACATCATGCTTTGGGTCCGTTTTTGTGCAAAGGGGACAGGACGACTGATCCGTGTTAAAGGAAGAATGAACGGGGCCGTGCATCGTGACATTTTAAGCCCAAACCTCCTTCCATCAGTGACAGCATTGAAGATGGAACAGGGATGGGTCTTCCAGCACGACGATGATCCCAAACACACGGCTCGGGCAACGAAGGAGCGGCTCTGTAAAAAGCATTTCAAGGTCCTGGAGTGGCCTGGCCAGTCTCCAGACCTCAACCCCATAGAAAATTTGTGGAGGGAGTTGAAAGTCTGTGTTGTCCAGTGACAGCCCCAAAACATCACTGGTCTGGAGGAGATCTGCACGGAGGAATGGGCCAAAACACCAGTTAGTGTGGGCTAAACACACCTCTCTCATATTTCTAAGTAGGAGAACTTGCACAATCAGTGGCTGATATACTTTTTTGCCTCACTGTAACTTATTTGTTAATTTCAGCTTTCTCTCCTTTTAGCTTTTTTCTGCTAGTTTCAGCCTTTTCTGTTCTTCAGCTACTCTTTAGTTCTTTTCATGCAAATGTTAGTTTTTTAAGCTAATTCCGCTTTTTTAATAGCTCATTTCAGTTCTTTCTGCTTCGTTCTGGTAGTTTAAGCTTCTTTCTGCCTTTGCAGCAAGATTCCACTCCCCAAGTGAAAGATTTCATATTTCCAGAAAAAGTGAAAATAGCAAACATAGTTCCTCTTCATAAGAATGGTGAGAAATGTGTGTTCACCAATTCAGACCAATATCCTTGTTGCCACAATTTTCAAAAATACTAGAGAAATTATTTGTAACCAGACTCACCCTGACTTCCTTAAGACTCTGGATGTTGTGGGGCTGTCTCGGTTGACACGCCTTTGCAACATTGTGTGGCCATCAGGGGCAGTGTCACTGGATTGGCAGACTGGGGTGGTGGTTCCACTCTTCAACAACGGGGACCGGAGGGTGTACTCCAATTATAAGTGCATCACTCTCCTTAGCCTCCCTGGTAAGGTCTATTCTGGGGTACTGGAAAAGCGAATCAGATCGTTGGTCGAACCTCAGATCCAGGAGGAATAATGCAGGTTGCGTCCTGGCCGTGGAACACTGGACCAGCTCTCTACCCTCACTAGGGTCCTCGAAGGGGCATGGGAGTTTGCCCATCCAGTCTACATGTATTTCGTGGACTTGGAGAAGGCATTCGACCGTGTTCCTTGGGATTCACCGTGTGGGGTGCTCCTTAAGTATGGGATTGGGAGTCTGTGGTTACGGGCTGTTCAGTCCCTATACAAGTGGTGTGAGAGATTGATTCGCATTGGCAGTAGTAAATCAGAACCCTTCAGGGTGAGAGTTGGATTGGTGCAAAATCTGCAGTATTGCAGACTTTGTACCGGTCCATTGTGGTGAAGAGGGAGCTGAGCTGTAAGGCAAAGCTTTGTTTATCGGTCGGTCTACGTTCCTACCCTCACCTATTGTCACAAGCTCTGGGTAGTGACTGAAAGAATGAGATCAACAAAAACAGGCAGTTGAAATGAGTTTCCACCGCAGGGTAGCTGGACTCTCCCTTAGAGATAGGGTGAGAAGTTCAGTTATCAGGTGAGAAGTTCAGTTATCAGGAGAGACTCAGAGTAGAACCGCTGCTCCTCCACATTGAGAGGAGCCAGTTGAGGTGGTTTGGGCATCTGGTAAGGATGCTCTCTGGGCGCCTCTCCAGGGAGGTGGTTTGGGCATGTCCGACTGGAAGGAGATCCCAGAGAAGATCTAGGACACACTGGAGAGTCCATATCTCTCGGTTGTCCTGGGAACACCTTGGAATCCTCACAGAAAAGCTGGAAGAGGTGGCTGTGGAAAGAGATGTCTGGTCCTTCCTGCTCAAGCTATTGCCCCTGCAACCCGACTTGAGAATAAGCGGAAGATAATGGATGGATGGATGAACTAAATATTAACCAATCTGTATTATTAGATGTCAGTTCTAATAGTGGAAAATAAATAGCTTTAAATCCATCGTAAAATAAGTCCAAACGGTCTCCACGAAAAAACAAAAAGGAAATAAATCTTGTTTCTTTGTTTTGTCAGTTTTAAAACCCATCTATTAGGATTATTGTGTCCCTCAGATTCCCCAGTCACGTCCTACTTTAATGTTTGACTGTTGTATTTTCTTAGACTTACTGATAACTTTTGTATTTAGCTGTACAGTAGAGTTACATTCGGGCCTAAAAAAATCCAACCCGACCCCAGCCCGTAGACATTTTTTTCAAACCCGACTCGATCATTTAACTGTAATTACAGGCCTGAACCTGAAAAAAAAAAAACTTTTTTTTTTTTATTAAGCTTTTACTGCTTTTGCAAGCAAATCAGTTTGACATAAGTTTTAAAACATATTTCAAAGAAAGGAAGACACAAGATTTCTTATTTATTAACAAGTCACCAAATGGATATTAACATACAAAACGAATAGCCTAAAAAATCAACTCTAAAGATAGGCCATTATATAAATGAACAGAAATATTTTTACAGCAAAATTATTTGGAAAAAATATAGAACAAGGTAGGGGTGGGTGATACGGCTCAAACATAATGTGATATTTCAGAGCATTCTGACAATAACAATAAATTTTGTGATATAACAAAAAAAAAAAAAAGAAATCATAGTTATTCATTTGACAAAATTAACTTAACATGTTTCTTTGCAGTATTCTATAAAAACTAAATAAAAAAACAACAAGGGTTAATTTTACTGCAATTACTTTATTTAGTAAAGTATTCAGTCTCAAAGTATAAAAATAAAAATGATCCTTCTGTTATTTAGACTGAAAATGTCTGCACAAAATATAGAACAAAATCCACCACAAAATGTAAAGTGCCAGTGCAGTTCCCAAAAAAACTAAACAAATGAAAGCTTAAGATCTGTTGAGCATAAATGTAACATACAACAAAAACATATGTTGCCTTTAAATGAGGTATAACTTCTTGTAACAAATATTGAAAACAAATGAAATGCTTCCTGAAAGGATTGCTGATCATTGGCAGAACAGCCATCAGCCAGTTTCCTGATCCTCAGGAAAGTAGCTGGTCTCTAGGTTTGAGCTGCACAGTTCCCAGTTGCTGTTAATATAGTGCACAGTCGGACTCGGGTAAGGCTCCGTGGTCCGACTTGACCATAAATCTGTGGTCGATGCATAGTGTTTCCCCTACCATTACACAAGCGGTGTGCCCCGCTGCATCAACAGAGCCGAGCGCAGTCTACCGAACCGAACTGCACGCACCCCACCACCCCCACCTGTCGGCTCTGATGTAGCTCCAAGTTAGCAGTGCGCTAGCTAAAAAGCTAAAGGCAACGTCTTCCCTCACGCTGAACCCTCACGATGACGTCTCAAAAACTGTTGGTACAAACAGTGCGCAACTCAGATGTTGCCATTCATGTATTCACCTTTACACCGTGGTCCTCACGGAGATCCTGAAACATCCAAATTAAGTGGATACACTGCAGATCCGTGCCTGAAATAATTCCCCGAGATCTGATCCATCCTGCCAGCAAATCATAGGGACTGCAAGTGGTCTGCGATTCTCACAAATTACATCCAATTTGCAGTTTAGTTCACAAAGCAATTGAGTCTGGGTGCTCGAGACAAGAAGCAAACCATCACGGGCAGCCTGACCAGGGCCAAATTTGCTGCCGACGACTTCCTTGTTTCTTGATAAACCAGGAACCAGCTGATTAAATAAAGCAGGAAACCGGTCATCATAAATCCAATTATATATGCGTCTTTAACATCCTTGATGGACAGCAGAGATAGACACATCACCTTCCAATTGCCCCAGGAATCAATGACATGTCCAACTGCGTGTGTGTCATCAGGGCAAGTTGGCTCGCCTGAAGCTTGTATTCTGGTCAAGAAAATTTTATCAATTGCGTTAAAAGACCAGCTGATCAGATCCATAGCAAATATTACAGTTGGGAAGATATGTAGAGAGAGGCTCTGAAGCAGTTTCACAGACAGAGGTCACAAAGGTGCAGGACTTCAAGGACTTGGGGGTCCACTGTCCAGCAAAATGGCAAAATTGGTAAAGAGGTGAAAAAGAGAGTCCAGGCAGGATGGAAAGAATGGAGAAAAGATTCAGAAGTAATTTGTGACAAAAGTGTGGCAGAGAATGTCCAAGGAAAAGTTTACAAAACAGTGGTAAGACCAGCTATGTTGTAAAGTTTGAAGACAGTGATATAGACAAAAAGACAGGAGAAAGAACTGGAAGTGGCAAAAAAGAAGATGGTGAGGTTCATGGATGGATACGATTAGGAATGAGATAATCAGAAGTACAGCACAGGTTGAACAACTGGGAGATAAAGTTAGAGAGGACACACTGAGATGGTTTGGACATGTCCAGAGGAGGGACAGTGGGAATATTGGTAAAACATGTATACTGGTGTTAAAAGGGAGTTTTTCAAATCCACTATCTCCTTTGTGATTGCTCAGAATGGGAGACTGTGACGAAGTGAAGATTCAACGCAAACTGCTGGCTTCCTTAGATAGATAACTTTACTAACTGGCTTTTTAATGTATGTGAATGTTTTTATTCAGTGTCCTGAGGCAACTTTTGTTATGACTTGACGCTATATAACTAAACTGAATTTAACAATTGGAAGAAGGATGTTAGAAATGCAGCTACAAGGAAAAAGACAAAGAGGATATACTGCATATGGATGCAATTTGAGAAGACACGGAGAGACTTGGAGTGAAGACAGAGGATAGAGTGAGACACAGGAGGACTCTGTGAAGACACCTAAAGAGGGAACAGCTCAAAGAAGGAGGTGGTCATGTCCAAATGGAACAACATCTGGACCGAAGGCTAGGTTTGGACCCACTCTGATGTGTTGGACTCATAGACTGACACAGTTTAATCATGAAACATTTTCATATTTGTCAAGAAATATTTATTGGCTTTCTGTTCTTGCATGTAGTCTCATGTGGAAGGTCAACTTTCGCCTTTGAGTAAAACTTTTACCACATGTTTTACAGGAAAAGGGCTTCTCACCTAAATGTCTTTTCATGTGGACGGTCAGATAGCTGTTCTGAGCAAAACTTTTTCCACACACTTTGCAGGAAAAGGGCTTCTCACCAGTGTGAGTTCTCATGTGTCCGACCAAAAGATAATTCTCAGGGAAACATTTGCCACAAGTTTTACAAGAGAAGGGCTTCTCACCGGTGTGAATCCTTATGTGAGATGTTAAATGACCTGACTGGAAGAAACTTTTACCACATGTTTTGCATGTGTAGGGCTTCTCACCAGTGTGAGTTCTCATGTGTTTTGTCAGACTGCCACTTTGAGAGTAGCATTTGCCACATATTTTACAGAAAAAGGGCTTCTCACCGGTGTGAGTTCTCATGTGTCCGACCAAAAGATAATTCTCAGAGAAACTTTTGCTGCAGGTTTCACAGAAGAAGGACTTCTCACCAGTGTGAGTCTTCAGGTGAGTCGTTAAATGACCAGACTGAAGGAAACTTTTACCACATGTTTTGCACGTGTAGGGCTTCTCACCAGTGTGAGTTCTCATGTGGTTCACCATTTTAGCACATTGAGCAAAACTTTTACCACATGTCGTACATGTGTAGGGCTTTTCACCAGTGTGAGTTTTCATGTGATTTGTCAGACTCCTCTTTTGAGGGTAGCACTTGCCACATACTTCACAAGAAAAGGGCTTCTCACCAGTGTGAGTTCTCATGTGTCCTACCAAAACATAATTTTCAGAGAAACATTTGCCGCAGGTTTTACAGGAGAAGGGTTTCTCACCAGTGTGAGTCCTGAGGTGAGATGTTAAATGACCAGATTGGGAGAAACATTTACCACATCTTTTGCATGTGTAGGGCTTCTCACCAGTGTGAGTTTTCATGTGGCTCAACAAGTAGTCTCTACTTTTGTATGTTTTCTGACAGGTTGTGCAGGCATAGGGCCTCTCACCAGTGTGGACTCTTCGATGTATCTCCATCCTATATTTACTCCTGAAGCCTTTCCTACAAATATCACATTGAGCAGGTTTTCTGTCCTTCTGGGCCTCACACCGTGTCTCTAAAACACTTTGGTTTCTGTCAGGGCTACACTTTGGGCTTAGTTCTCGGTCTCTAAATGGTCCTGAACCTAACTGGTCTCGGATCTCAGGAAGGATTTCATCCCAGTTTGGTTCTGGTTTAATATGGTCCCGTTCCTCATGAGTAGAAGTCATCATGAAGGTATTGGCCTCCTGCTTCAGAACCAGCTGCTCTAGCAGAGGTTTAGAGGAAGTACAGGGCTTCTCACCCGTGTGAGTTTCCATGTGATCAGTCAAAGTCCTTTTTTGGCTGAAACTTTTACCACATATCTCACAGGAAAAGGGCTTCCCACTAATGTGTGTTCTCATGTGGTTGGTCAGATTGCTCTTTTGAGAGTAGCTCTTGCCACATATCTCACAGGTAAAGGGCTTCTCACCAGTGTGAGTTCTAGTGTGGTTGATCAGACTGCTCTTCTGAGAGTAGCATTTTCCACATATCTCACAGGAAAAGGGCTTCTCACCAGTGTGAGTTCTCATGTGTGTTTTTAAAGTAGAATTCAAAGAGAAGCGTTTGCCACAGGATTTACAGGAAAAGGGCTTCTCACCTCTGTGTAATTTCATGTGGACGGTCAGACTGCAATTTTGAACGAAACACCTGCCACATATTTTACAGGAAAAGGCCTTCTCACCAGTGTGTGTTTTCATGTGAATGTTCAGACCGCTCCTTAGAGTGAAGCATTTACCACATATTTTACACAAAAAGGGTTTCTCACCAGTGTGAAGTCTCATGTGGCCCACTAAGTCATTACGTCGAGTGAAATGCTTACCACATGTTTTGCACATATGTGGCTTCTCACCGGTGTGAGTCCTCACATGGGCTTGTAAAAAAGAATTTCGAGAGAAGCATTTGCCACAGGTTTTACAAGAAAAAGGCTTCTCACCGGTGTGAACTCTCATGTGGGCTATTAAAATATAATTATAAGAGAAGTATTTGCCACACGTCGTACAGGGAAAGGCCTTCTCACCTGTGTGTGTTTTCATGTGGATATTCAGACCATTCTTCAGGGCAAAGCATTTGCCACATGTTTTACAGGAAAAGGGCTTTTCACCGGTGTGACTTCTCATGTGGGCCACTATTTGACCACGTTGAGTGAAACGTTTACCACATATTTTGCATGTGTAAGGCTTCTCACCAGTGTGAGTCCTCACATGAGCTTGTAAAACATAATTTTGAGAGAAGCATTTGCCACAAGTTTCACAGGAAAAGGGTTTCTCACCGGTGTGACTTCTCATGTGGATCACTATTTGACCACGTTGAGCAAAACATTTACCACATGTTTTGCAAATGTAGGGCTTCTCACCAGTGTGAGTCCTTGTGTGAGCTTTTAAAAGAGAATTGCCGGAGAAGCCCTTGCCGCAGATTTTACATGCAAAGGGCTTCTCGCCATTGTGAACTCTTAAGTGAGTCACTAGATGATTACGCTGGCTGAATGTTTTTCCACATGTTTCACACATATAGGGCTTCTCACCAGTGTGGGTC